AGCTGAGTTTGTACAGGACTTACATGCTAAGGTTAAAAAAAACATAAAGCAAAAGAATGAGCAATATGCCAAGCAAGCTAATAAAGGCAGGAGACATGTGATCTTTGAGCCCGAAGATTGGGTTTGGTTACATTTAAGGAAAGAGAGATTTTCTAATCAAAAGAAATCCAAACTTTAAGCTCAAGGAGATGGAGCTTTCTAAGTTTTGGAAAGAATTAATGATAATGCTTACAAGATTGATTTGCCCAGCTCTTATGGCAATGTTAGTGCCACATTTAATGTTTCTGATCTATCTTTATATGATTCTGCAGATTCGAGGATGAATCCTTTCCAACTGAGAGGAAATGATAAACTCCATGGCACGGATGACGTCGCATTAATGGCAACGAAGCTTGAGGATGATAATAATGAGTATGGTGACATGGAAGGAGCCCAAGACAGGGAGCAAGGAGCCCAATACTTCTAATCTAATGTACCTAAAGACCCATTACAACATATTAGAGGTCCAATGACAAGAGCTCGAACTAAAGCCATGAAGCAAGCCTTGTTCAATCTTGTGCAAGAAGTTCAAGAGCTTGGAGAGTATTAGGGCACTCCTCTCAAGCCTAAAGGAGAGCATCTATACGTGTATAATGTGCTTAAGATCCAAATCTATGAAAAGCCAAGCCCAAAGATGCAAACCTTAACCCAATGTAAGGAAGACTACAAGTTGAGCCTCTTGTAAGTAAGAAAGCATGAAACCCTAGTGAAGAAGTCAAGGGTAACATGATTTTAAATCCTTTATGATCTCCTGATTGTCTCCTAAATTATTTTCTATTTTAATGGTTCTTTGATTTGATTTTCTATTTTGAGTCTAGTTAAAGATTAGAATTACTTACTAAAGTTTGTAATCCCATAATTTTAAAATCACATCTCCTAAATTATGTGGCTGAATATTTTTTCATTATTTTATATTATTTCTCCTTTTAGAATTAGGAAATTAGGATTTTAAATTTAGAAAATAGTCTTCTCTATGAGTCTATATATATTAGGCATGCTCCTTCTTGTAAACAGAATAGAAGTTGAATGAAATTATTCATTTTAGAGTTTATAACTCTTGTGAGCCTTAGTGCTTTATAGTGGCATCCCGTATGAGAAACAAACGTGATCAAGAGCATGATCAACTCTTATGGTGTTTTCGAAGGTTGAAGTTCCCAGAGGCAGGTGCTTTAGAGGATCTTTTTCTTGATCATTATCCCATTGTTTATTTAATATCTTTCTTTATTTTTATCATAATTTTTATCCCTTTCTTTTTGTTCTTGTGTTTTTGTTGTGTTTCAAGGTTTTATCCCTAAACTAGCATGATTCTGCTTCGGCGTGCCCTATCAACAAGGCATTTAGACTTCTCACTATTCTCGCTTCCCTACCTTGGCCATCCTCTTCATCGGCTCTCTCAACTATTCTTCAGCACGCTATCCGCTCATTCACTGACTGGAGGCAAAGATCGAAGCCATTGACGACGAGGCGATCATTATGAAGGTCACGTTGTTGTGGTGAAACAAGGTTTCGTAGGAGCCGCTGCTCTAGTGTGGCAAACAAGAATCATTGATCTTCCTTACAACGACGGCACCAATTGGTTCTCTATTCTTACAACCACATTTACGTGGTTATGTGTGTGGGCTTGGTGGTTCTGGACTCGACTCGACGCTGCATTTTTGGTGATGAAAGGAGAGACGTTGTTAGTGTTTAGCCATTTTCTGTAAAGGATGAGAGAGTGTTCAAGGATGCAGAGAAATTTTTGGAGGATAGGTTCATCAAAGAAGAAAGAGAGAAGTTGTTGAAGTACATGTATTGGTCAAATGGGCTGGAGATAGAGGAGTTGGCGGCGATGAACAAGCAGTATGTAGGGAAGAATCTAGTGACCTTTGTTCTACGGGTTTTTTGGTGGAGTTCTTCTTGAGGTATGATAGTTTTATAGTGAAGCCCGGAAAGACTTGCTCTAGCTGTGGTCTTCAACATTGTGCTGTGGTCATCGTCGTCAAACGAGCAACCTCTTCAGTTAGCTCTTCTGCACTTCTTTCAGCCTCCATTGGCACGTGTTGTGGTCTTCAACATCCATGCAGACCCGGGCAATCATGACGTGCAAGACTAGCTGGTTGGAGGTGATACAGTCAAGTCATTGGCCGTAGTTACCGCTCATTGGCCACTTGCACCTCTTTCGATTGCTGGAGCTGAGACCTGAGATCACGGACTGAGGCTAGGATAGAGATGATGATCATGGCTGCAACGGTGGAGGAGGAGATAGGAAGAGGGGAGAGACGAAGAGTGTGAGACAAGAAGAGAGTGTGAGATGGAGTTGCATACCTGAGAGGGAGAGGAGAGAGATGATAAAAAATATTTAAAAAAAATAATATGACGCTTATAAGTGATATTTTAAAATAAAAAAATATTTAAAAAATTGAAAACTCGGCCCAAGTAACGAAAAAATGAACAGAAAAAATGTCACGGTGAAAAAACAAAAAATCTTTAAAGTTTATAATATAAATAATCCATAGTGAAGTTTAAGGTCATTTATAAACTTTTACGTATAGTTCAGAAATAAAAATATTTCTTAACTTTAAAATATTTTGAATTGAAATACAAAAATGACACTTTGAATAAAAATTAAAAAATAAAAATGACTTTTAATTTGATAAAAAAATATTTAAAAAATAGTTGAACTGATTGATAATTAACTAATGTTGAGTACTTTTTAATACTAGGATGGGAATGAAAGGAATCTTTTATCTATAATTAAAAATAAAAATGACATTTGACCATAAATAATAATATAATATAAATAACAATGACGAACCTCAATTTTTTAAGGTCATATCTTGGTAAAGATATTAAGAGAAGTTGATGAACAAAGTTTGGCCATTGCTTCAAGAGAAAAATCCTGGTCGTCCTACTGCTCGTAAAATTAAGAAAATAAAAATCTGACTTTCTTTAAAGGAGATAAGACATGCATATATACTGCCCTTAGATATTTACTTTTTTATTTTACTTTTGAAAAAGTATTTTAGATTTAAGCATCGCCAAACTCAATTAAAAATAATTATCTTTTCCAAAAGCTTTTTGTGCATTCCAGACTCAACTTAAAATCATGTGTTTAAGTGGCTATAACTCTTTTTATTTTGAAGGGAAAATCACAATTAATGAACCTTATATGAAATTTATATTAATCAAAGATCAATTATTGTCAAAACCCGAATGGACTGTTATTAACTTAGAATAAATTATTATTAAAATCCGAATAAATACTCGTTGATAAAAGATTAATTTGAATTAATTTATCCTTTTAAATTTTGACAATAACTAGTTCTTAATTGATATAATTTTCATGCTGAAATTCTTAATGGTTATTTTTCCCTATTTTGAATGAATAAGTATTTAATATTAGTTATAAACATTAAATAAAAAATCAAATCGGACTCGCATGTTCAATTGGTGTCCATCAATTTTAATATTACATTATATTAAGGAAAGGGAGCACCCGCGGGAAGTGATTTGGAGTGGGAGGGGGAGAAAATAAATAATTAAATAATTATTTATTTCTTTCATACTTTTACAATGAAAATATTTTAATATACTCATGTCCAAAAAATATTTAAATATAAATAATCAAAGAATTGTATAGATGAATATTTACAATATTATATTGTATTATTGTTAGAATAAAGAATAATTATTGTTAGAATATTATGTTTAAATAAAATAAATTTTTAATTTTATTCTTATTTAAATGAAAAAAATTAAGTTTTTATTATATTTTTTTCATAATTAATAAATTTAAATAAAGATAATATTAAAAATACAATTAATACTCTATCAAATATTTTATATTGAAGATCAAGTAATTCTTTTAGAAAATATTTTGAACTGAATGTTCCAAATATTTCCCTGCTAATAGCCACTCTAGGGGCTACAGGTCTCTTCATTTTTTTTTTCATTATTTTCCCTCAACTTCCCCAATTCTCACCCTTCATTAATTCTATAATTAAAAAAATTATTTAATAAAAAATGATAATAAAATTCTTTAAATTATGTAAATAATATTTTAGTCTCTTGAAATGTTATAATTTTCTTAAAGTTTTTAAAAACTTTTTTATTATTAAAGAATTAATATAAATAATTAAATTGTTCTTAGTTCAAAATTTCAAATGCGAATTTATAAATTATTATTTTATTTTTGTGATTTTAAGAAAGAAATTGATGAATAATAGGATAAAACATATGAAAGGAAATTAATATTTACAACACTTGAAGAATATTATAATTTTAAATGTGAACTTGTGAATTATTATTGAATTCTTGTAATTTAAAAAATTATAAATTTTAAAATAAAATTTATGAATGATAATTAATATTTGAATTAAAAGTAATTTAATTATTTATATTAATTTTTTAATGATTGAAAAGTTTTAAGAAACTTTAAAAAAAATTTGATATTTTAAGAAAGTAAAATATTATTTATATAATTTAAAAATTTTATTATATTTTTTTAATAAAATGATATGAATGGAGAAGATTGAAAAAGTGAAGGGAAAAAGAAAAAAAAAAATGAAGAGGCCCACGTCCCTAAGCTAGGCCTGCTGGGCATTTCTGTCCACTCATTTTTTTTTTTTTGACCACACTGGTTGTCATTAATTTGCGTGTATGTTGTGTGCCCAACTATCATTTTTGGGAACGTGATTCATCTTGGAGTTACATAAATGGTCAAAAAGATATTAATAAAATATTTTTAAATGTTAATATATTAAATTTAATTTTTTAAAATAATAATAATTAATATAAAAGATAATCATTTAAAATTAATTGTGTTGGAGTTAAAAAGATTAAAAAATATTTTATAAAATTAAAAAATTAAATTAAAATATCATATAAAATTAAAAAATTAAAAGTATCCCTTAATCAATTTTTTTTTGTCAAATAAAATTTGAAAGTTCTTTCTTTGGTCAAATATCTGAAAATTCTGAACATAGAGACCAACTATTTCTTTCTCAATTGATAAATATTATATCTCATTTTTTAACCCATGCAACATAAAAGAAAAACTTTAAACGATACATTTTTTAACCCATAGATTTTTTTAAAAGGGTCAAAAATAAATTAAAACTAATAAAAATTACAGCTCATAAATCAGCAAAGATAAAAAAAAAAAAAAAAAAGAGAGAGAGAGAAGAAGAAACAACGTAAATTGTCTGGACATGAATTATGTCGGATTGGATTGGATTGCCAAGGCTTCGATAAAAGAATTGCGTCCTCATGATCGAGTTATTGCCCCCAATAAAACTGAAACGACAGATCGTTTTGAGCCATTAGTTTCTCAAACTCTCTGCAAATACAGACAAGGCCATTGTGGATGGTCCATCTTTCTTTAACGCTTTAACAGCTTTAACTTTCAAGACATTGATTCTCGCGCGAATCTCGTCACTTTCTTCACCCTCCATCAACGTTCTTATGGCTTCTGAGATCTCTTCCTTCTTCACCATCCCGTCGTCGTCGTTCGCCGTCGGCCACACAGCCACCTTCAGGCCATGAGTCAGCAAAACGGCGTTCATACTCTGCTCTGCAAAAAGTGGCCAAGCTATAAACGGCACGCCATGAATAATACTCTCAAGCGTTGAGTTCCAACCACAGTGACTTAAGAATCCACCCACTGAACTGTGTTTAAGGATTGGAATCTGTGGTGCCCATGAAGGAACAACCAAACCTCGCTCTTTGGTTCTCTCCAAAAATCCTTCTGGTAAGAAATCTAAGGGATTCTCATTAATGGTATCAAGATAAGCAGCACTGGAAACTTTACTTGGAGATCTCAGAACCCATAAGAATCTTGTCTCACTTAATCCCAATCCATAAGCTAATTCATTGAGCTGATCTTGAGATAGTGTCCCACCACTCCCAAATGAAACATAAAGAACCGATTTAGGTGGTTGATTGTTCAACCATGTTAAACAGTCTGAGCCTGAATCGGTGGTCTCGTTACTACTATTCAACCCACTTTGTATAATCGGTCCAACAGCGTAAACCTGTGGCTTCTTCTTCCCTATTTCTTCTCGAAGGGCTCTTATTGTCTCTGGTTCTAATTCTTCAAAGCTGTTGAACAGAACACCATCAGCAAGACAGAACTTTCTGGAGCGTTCTAGAAACATCTTGTAGCCTAAGCTGGATCGATCCTGGAATATCACAGGTAGATCCCTGCCATGAATAGGAAGACAACCTGGGATCTTTATGGGTTCTTTTAGGTCTCTGAACTCTGAGGAAACTGTTTCATCCAACATTAATGAATAATAGTACAGCGAAAACACCATAGCAGCTTGTGGGAGGTATATGTAAGAGAAGACATTGAGTTCTTCAGCGAAGGCCAGGGTATCGAGGGCAAAAATATCAGCAACCAAAGCTGCAAGACCAGTTTTGGATTTCATGGACTTCAGTTCTTGGCGAATATATGGTAGTGATAGAGTTACTGTGCCTTCGATTTGGGTCGCTGGCACAGTATCTTGAGGTATTTTTTCTTTTGGAATCGGCGGGAGTAAGATCGAATCGATGTTTGAAGGAAGAGTTTGAAGGTAGGCTATGGAGGAAGATGAGTGAGATCCGAACGCGGGAACGATGCAGGTGACGTGAAAATCTGGATGAAGATGAACAAGTCGCTTGGAGAATTCAAGAATCGGAACCACATGGCTGAATCCAGGACTGGGTAGGACGGCGATTCGAGTCGATTTCTCCATTATTATGCTTTGACTTGATTGATCGACCAGGCTTCCGTTTTGCGAACGATTGTTTATGCTGTCTATGCAGAGAAACAACGGCGAGCAGGGGATATTGTTCGTGGAAAGAAAAGTACAGTTGATGACCCTAGATTTATAGAATTATCAATTGTATAATATTATAAATTGGGCGAGACAAATTTGTTTTCAAAATATATTATTGAGTTCTATTGCTTCTTCCTCTTATCATAAGACGTCATCAACTAAAATCACATAATGACAGTTTTAACTCATTAAATATATTTTAAAATAAAAAAAATTAAATTTTCTCTTATATGAAAATAGGAAGAGAGATATACAATATACTTCCTTCATCTTTATATGTAAAATGTTTTAATTAAATTTTACATATCAATAACAATATTTTATTTAGTTAAAATTATATAAAATCACAATGATTTTTTAATTTTACTCCTAATAATATCATAATTAATATCATGATAGTAGTAAGTGAAGCACATAAGTAATATCACTTTCTATTTTTCAATATAAAGAAAAAATTATTTAATTATTTAAAAATATAATTAACACTTTTATATTTAAAGACAACTTTTATAAAATACCTTATTTATAAAGATAGAAGAGTATGATGAGTCATATAATTAAATTTATATCAAGAGTAAAATTCAAAAATAATAATAAATATCCATACATGTGCCCCCATATGGATGGTAATAAATAACCATCCCTTATTGAATGACCATTATTGAGTATTAAAGAATTTTTTTAGAAGATGTCTCCCTAAGTATTTCCCTGTCTTGTAATGAGAATTAGAAGAATATATATTCTTTTAGGCTTGAAAAACTAAAAAAAATATTTATTTTAATCTTATTTTTAGTATAGATCAATAATTATTGTGTTCATTTTTATTTTTATTTTGTTTCTATAATAAACGTCAAAAAGGTTATTATATGTCAGAGTATTTTATTTTTAAGGTATATATTTAATGACTAATTGAAAACTTATTACTCTCTCCGTTGAAGATATTTTTAATCAAATTTTACTTTCAATAAAATAGTTATATATTTTTAAATTAACTTTATTTTTTCATATTTACCTCTATTAAACATTCTATAATAAATATAAAGCCATTATTAATAGGAACACTTTTAAAAAAAGACAATAATTATACTTCAAAAGATTAAAAATATTTTATATTTTTAAATATCTAACTCTTCAAAAAGTACTTTATATTTTTAATATGAGGAAGTAACATTTAAAATATAGTTAATGAAATTTAAATATTTTTTTTTTAGTTCCTATAAGAATGCGAAAGTGAATAACAGAAAGAAGGAGCGCACCAATAGGTTATAAATTTGAAGTCCTTTAATTTTTTTTTTTTATGAAAAGTTCTTTAATTTTCAGACAAAAAGCTATTCATTCTAAATTATAAAAATATTTTCGGACAAAACCTTACACATTAATAAACTCCATTCAATACACTTAAATCTTATCTTTTTAAAGTAAATATTTCATTTAATATATTAAAAAAACAATACACTTAAATCTTATCTTTTTAAAGTAAATATTTCATTTAATATATTAAAAAAACAGGAATGAAAATAAAAAAAAAGTATAATATTAAAATAAATTTATTTAATAAAAACTTAATTTTTTAAATATATATTTTAAAACTTTAAAATTCTTTAAAAATATTTTATAGTTTAAAATAGAGGGAGTAAAATATATAAATTAAATATACAGTCTTGATCCTGGCCACAAAAAAAAAAAGTGTAGTCTTGATTCATAATGTTTCCATATTTTAATAATAATCTTCTGGAAACTCCTTTCCCATTACCATTTTCAAGAGTCAAGAAAGACAGCTGGTTGAGAATGACGTAAGTTCAAACGGAGCGCTGCTGCACGAAGCTGTCGGAGGGGCCAAATGACGTGGACTTGGCTTTTGCTCTGCTAACAACCCCACCTCCAAAAATTCTGGATCATTCAGATAAATTTTATCCAGGCGATTGAGATTTAATTTTTTTTATTTTTATTTATATTTATTAAAATTTTAATAAATCTTAACACAAGTCTCAACCGTTCATGTTTAATATAAATGATTTAAATTTAATATTAAAAAATTTTATAATTTTTTTGCTAGAAAAAGAGCTCATTTTATTAATCACAAACAAATAATACATACAATAATAGCTGAAGTAAAAAAAAAAAAAAAGCCTCCACAAGGACCTACATAAAACTTACCACACAAAACTCAGTAAAAAAAGAAAAAAAAAAAACAACAAACAACAAGAAGAATCAATTAACCAATTTCAACCCTATTTCAATCATCACATCACAAGAGCAATCAAAAATAAAAATTACAGCAACTCTTAAATCAACAATTAAAAGATTACATAAAAATTATAAAATTTTTTATAAATTAATTATCTACATATACTCTAGATAGTATAGATTTAATATTAAATTTTTTTTATAAATTTTATAAATTTTTAATATGTTAAACCTAAACTATTCAAATTGGTGATCATATTTATTAATTTTTTTTATAAATTTAGATAATTCATGTTAAATCTAAAGTATCTAAACTGATGATTAGATTTATTAGTTTTTTTATAAATATGAACCTTCCATATTTAATCTAAACTATTTATATTAGTGTTCAGATTTATTAAATATAAAATACAAATAAAAAATAAAAATAACAAGGCTAAGTCTAAATGACATTGTCATTTAAATAAATACACAGTTAGAAATTTATGCAAATGGGGCAAATTGAAAATTACTCCCTCTGTTTAGATATTTTTTAAAAAGTTGAATATTAAAAAATGTAAGGTATTTTTAGTCTTTCGAGATGTAATCATTATTTTTTTAAAAGTGCCCTTATTGATAATAACTTTATATTTATTATAGAGTGTTTAATAAAGATAAATATAAAAAATAGAGTTAGTTGAAAAACAAATGACTATTTTATTAAGAGTTGAGATTTAGTTAAAAATATTTTATATTTTTAAACAGAGGGTAAAAAAAAAAAAGTAAGTGGCAGTCTTTGTATTCTTCTCCAAACATGTAATATTAACTAAATATAAAGAATTTTTTTTTTTAATTTCTTGAGGGTTGAGGGTGACTCCTCCTAAACGCCATGACTTTTTTTTTTTTTTTTACTTCCTCCACGATATATATATATATATATATATAGGCCAGTGATATCTTGGTGCGTTAAAGATGGGATTCGGTTCCGGTGCTTATTTCATAGCTGTGCTCAGCATTTAAACTGCACTGTTTCATAGCACATTTTTCTTTTTTTTTAACCACAAATTATTATTATTATTATTATTATAATAAATAAATATTATAAAAATACCATTATAATATTAAATAAATAAATAATTAGGAAAAAAATGACCTAAGTTGTTTAGAACAAGGCTGAGTTTAGCAAAATGCTTTAATTTTTTACAACGCAACAAACTAAGTTTGAATTTTTATTGAAAGAAATATCTACATTTAAAATTCGACTGTGTTATGAATAATATTGCTTCTAATAGATGGATATTTTTGCACAATCAATAAAATTAAGGAAAAAATATTTTTTAATTGCAGTTCTAATTTTTTCAGTGTAGTTCTAAATTATGTAGGTTAAATTTTATATCTAAACTGTTTAGATCAAATTTTAATAGTTTAAATTATATATTTATTTAATATTATAATAAATTTATAATATTTATTTTTATCATTATTATAATAATTTGTGGTTTCAGAAAAAAATTGCTTGAAACGGCACGGTTTAAATGATGAGTACAAAGGAGAACCTACCTTTATTAGAGCTCTTAGTCATTCGAGAAAACTTTTTTTTTCAAGATTTTAAAAATTGGACTCCACCAACTGGTTTAACTGTAAACTTAGTCACTTGTCCAATTCAGTTGATGCTGGGAAACCAGTGAGCAATAGAACCGACCGACAACTTGGGAAAAAATTGAAAAATCTAACCGGTTGAGTGGTTTGGCTAGTTTGTAATTAATTATTTCCATCTTCACTATGTTTTTAGAGTGCAATTAAAAGTTTAAAATTGAATGGAACAAAAATTTTCCAGGAGTTTTACAATGAGAAAAAATGGTCTTATGTGATATTTTTTGGAAATTATTATAAAATAGATGGAATTTAATGAATTAAAATTTTTTCTTTTAATATTACCCATATAAAGAAATTTAAAGAAAATAATAACTCTCACTAATTTAAAAATAATACAAATTTATTGATTAAAATGAAAAAGTAAGCAAAGAGATCATCTGAATAAAACAATATAAAAAACATTGCCAATTAAAAAAAGGAAGAAAGAAAGAAAGAAACGGTGCAAAATAAAAAAAGAAATTTTTATATATATATATATATATATATATAAAGAGAGAGACGACCCACATGGATTGATGGGGAATGGGAGGGTTGATATGCCATCCCACACACACACACACTATAGCAATCTAGCCGCACAAAGGGAGTCGGCAGATTAATCAAATGAAGCAATTGCAAAGGGGTATTCAAACAAAAGAAAAATAAATAGAAAAAAAAAAGGTGAATGTGCATTCTAGAGTCTATAAAGTATCATGCAAAAAGTATTATGGATCTTAAATTTTTAAAATATATAAAATGAATCATAAACTTCTAAAAGCAAAATAAATTACTCCTGCCATTAACTTATAGATAACGCCGTTATTGTTCACTTTATAAGCCTAGTCAAATATTGATGGGTCAATCTTTTGCTGATGTGTAATTTGTTAATGAATACCACAGGTTTTAAACTATTGCGTAAGTAGCATCTTGAACTTTGAATTTTGAATCCAAAGCAAATTGCCCCACCATTTATGTGTAAAAAGTTAACTGTTATGTAGACCAAATTAATTTCAGCATGGTTTGCTATGATAAAAGCATTGTTGGCCATGGCAAACGGCCTATGATTTTGTGAAATGAAGTTTTTTGCCTTTTTTTTGCAATATTTTTTAAAAGATTAGTATCACATGCTTCCGTATACTCTATAACTTTGATTTAATCTTATTTTAAATAATGTTTATTTATTTAATGGTGAAAACTTATGATCCCATTTTAAAAGAAGTTTAAGTATCAGA